TATGTAGTGTCTCTACTTTAAAGAGTCCTCTCCTGCTGATGTTCAGGTGTACTGTATATCAGTATGTAGTGTCTCTACTTTAAAGAGTCCTCTCCTGCTGATGTTCAGGTGTATATCAGTATGTAGTGTCTCTACTTTAAAGAGTCCTCTCCTGCTGATGTTCAGGTGTATATCAGTATGTAGTCCCTCTACTTTAAAGAGTCCTCTCCTGCTGATGTTCAGGGTGTACTGTATATCAGTATGTAGTGTCTCTACTTTAAAGAGTCCTCTCCTGCTGATGTTCAGGTGTATATCAGTATGTGAGTGATTCTACAATTTAGGGGTACATTCCATGTCCATTGATGTCCATTGATGATAATTATAATTATTCTAACTATTTTCTTCAAAAATATCATATTTTGCCTATTATTGGAAAGCATGTTATAATATCACACAAACATTATGTGCATCCTATGCTTTATTTAGCGTGAAATGTGTCATGATGTTCTTAAATTGTCAGTTTTTGCTCTGTCCGTTTTTCAGTTGAGGGTGTCTTGGATTCAAAATAATGAATAAAAACCATTAAAGTAAATTAAAAAAATTATTCATTTATTTCAAAAGTCTAAATACTAAAGAATAATAACATATTTTTCATTGATTTCCTCCTTTAAATAATTTAAATATCTTAATATATGAATGTCCGCAAAAGTTCTGTCAACTATGTTACTAACAGAACTCCCCCCTTTAACTCAAATATGGTTTGTCCCAATACCATGTCACCAGCATCACATGATGCCATGTTCCTCTTTGGCAGACATTTTGAACACACTGTGGTGATTGTCCTCTAATTTTTTACAATATTTTATGTATAATAGCACATTGTCAATGAGTATATTAATTGACCATCAACAATGTTACGTACATTGTTATGGTTTACAATTGTTTAATGATTTTAATTCAATTATATGTTCAAATGTGATGTTAACCTGTTCAAGAAAATGACATGTGGTCATCCAGGCAAGGCCTACCATTGAAATGATGGGTCAAAATAGGGAAATTGTCAACTAGGTTACCTGTCAACTAAGTTACCCAGTACTGTAATAACTGTAGTAACTTAGTTGACAGGTAACCTAGTTGACAATTTGTATGACATGTAGACGTCATTACACATCATTATCAATGGAATTTTGCACTTCTGCCTTGAAATGAACATAGTGCTGATGGTTAATAATGTGTCCAGTCAATTATGTTATTTGCGTCAAATGTTTGACTTTCATTGTCAACTATGTTGCACCTCATTTTTTCAAATTTAAAATATCTAAAATAGTGCTTCTGATATCCTTTATAGTATAATGTATATCTACACAGGTTGGAGTTTTACATGACATCTCTTAAAACTATCAAAATGACCTGTATGGTAGTTTTATAATACAAAATATCCCTAAACTTAATGACAGTGCTGAACATATCACATGAAAAAACAAAACTTTAATACAATTATTTTTTAAACTTTAAAAGATCTTTGGATATATGGTAGAATAGACTCAAGAGCCTTTCAAATTTGATTTTACTTGAAGTGCAGGACTTAATCAAATGATTGTAATGACATCAAGTTTGTCCGCAACATAGTTGACAACCTGAGTAGTGAAAACATCCTTTCCCTTCAAATAAAAAAAAAAAAAAAAATGTTTAAGCTTTGCAACTAGTGGATATGTTACACTGAGGAATATACTAACTTGAACCACTGATTGTTCTATTGAGAAAGAACACTTTCTTTGTACTGTTTTGTTGATGTGAAATGCACCCTAAATTATAGAATCAGTCATGTAGTGTCTCTACTTTAAAGAGTCCTCTCCTGCTGATGTTCAGGTGTATATCGGTATGTAGTGTCTTTACTTTAAAGAGTCCTACAATTAGATGTAAAACAGCTGCAAAGAGACAGAAAATTACAACAAAGAGACAATTAATCACCATAAAAAAATATTTTAGTAGAGAAATGTTTTCATTGAAGTTAATGTGTTGAAGGGAATCCTGTAAAAAAAAGTTTTATTCAAAATGGCACTTTATCAAAATGCAATTGAGTGCAACTTCAACGTAACTGTATTTTTGGTTCCTATTAGATAAGATGTACTTTATTGATCCCAAATTGGGAAATGTTTGCGTTGCAGCAGCATAAAAACAAGGCATTGCACATCATTAGAAATTAAAAGAGTAGAAATAAACATTTCAAAAATGTGAAACATATCAAAATAGAAATTAAAAAGTAGAAAATATGCATTTGACGTGAAGATGAAACATATAGTACAGCGGATAAGCACAACAATTGTGCATTTTATGAGAAAAGCATGACATTTCTAACATAGTTAGTGCATACCATAAGGTTTATTTTCAGATGTGGAGGGAAGTCAGATTTGACCTGTGAGGACCGTGAGAGGTCAAATCCAAGATGGCCGCCAGTCTCTCGGGTCAAATGTTCAAACACGCTTAATTTTGGAACCAAACATTGTAGAAAAACATTTAAGGTGTCATATCCAACTAAATTAGGGATGCCCAATCATTTGATGATACTTTTGAGATCGCCAGAATTCAAGAAAATGCATTTAGGTGAAGATAAAGGTAGAAATTGACCAAAAATAAGCTGTCAATCAGTTGAAATGTGGTGTGTGTGTGTGTGTGTGTGTGTGTGTGTGTGTGTGGTCACCCAGCGCTAGCATTAATACAGAGACTGGAGGAATATGGCTTTACTTGGCACAGTCTGCATGCTGAAGCAAACATTTGTTTTTGTCTTCAAATACATACTTACATGATTGTGACGAGCATAATATTTGGTCCCCGCCCAACTCTCTAAGTGCTTGAACTCCGTGACAGGAGGATGAAGTATGTATAAATGGATGGAACTATCAACAAAACAACAGCGTTTTATTCCCCAATGTCATATTTAATAGAAAAATAATGATGCACCACTTATTGGAGAAAGAAGAATGGGGAACAGAAAGGTTTAGAGAGGGACAACATGCTGAAACCTTGCAACTTCAGTGCCAGAGAAAAAAGGTACTGTGAGTACACTTGTGGTTATTGTCCTCATGTTGCACATAGAACATTCAATTAAGATGTTTACCGCATGTGGGCAAAAATCCATCAATCTTTCAATTTTCTAAAACTTGTTATATCCTTAGAGTCATTTAAAATGAGTTTTTTTCTCCATGCCATGGAGTCTAAATGGGTAAACCTTTGTATTTGTAATTGTACAGCCATGCTAGGACAAACAAATCCCCTTTGCCAATGTTCTCTCTGCACTCTCTGTCACACACACACAACATACATAACCCTTTCTTTGCATGACCTCTAAATGTCCATGTGAGCCACTAAAGAACAGAAAAAAAGCTGCGCTACCTTGGCTTTATAGGTGGACAGGCAGGGAATCGAACCCCAACCCTCTATAAGTGGAAAGAGACAGCGGTGAACCTTATAGTTGAGTGCAGCCCTTTGTTAACAGCGAGGGTTAAGAGAGCTGTTTGTGCTCTACATGGAACTGTTTTCCATCTCCCTCTTTGGTTTACATTATTATTATTATTTTTCTATTAAATATGACATTGGGGAATAAAACGCTGTTTTGTTGATAGTTCCATCCATTTATACATACTTCATCCTCCTGTCACGGAGTTCAAGCACTTAGACTTAGACTTAGAGAGTTGGGCGGGGAACAAATATGATGCTCGTCACAATCATGTTAGTATGTATTTGAAGACAAAAACAAATGTTTTCATCAGCATGCAGACTGTGCCAAGTAAAGCCATATTCCTCCAGTCTCTGTAGTAATGCTAGCGCTGGGTGACCATAAATCCACTGGAATATACCACACACACACACACACATTTTGCAAATTTCAACTGATTGACAGCTTATTTTTGGTCAATTTCTACCTTTATCTTCACCTAAATGCATTTTCTTGAATTCTGGCGATCTCAAAAGTATCATCAAATGATTGGGCATCCCTAATTTAGTTGGATATACCACATCACACACACATTTTGCAAATTTCAACTGATTGACAGCTTATTTTTGGTCAATTTCTACCTTTATCTTCAACTAAATTCATTCTCTTGAATTCTGGCGATCTCAAAAGTATCACCAAATGATTGGGCATCCCTCATTTAGTTGGATATGACACCTTAAATGTTTTTCTACAATGTTTGGTTCCAAAATTAAGCGTGTTTGAACATTTGACCCGAGAGACTGGTGGCCATCTTGGATTTGACCTCTCACGGTCCTCACGGGTCAAATCTGACTTCCCTCCACATCTGAAAATAAACCTTATGGTATGCTCTAACTATGTTAGAAATGTCATGCTTTTCTCATAAAATGCACAATTGTTATAATATGAGAGCTTATCCGCTGTACTAGAAGTGAGTTCATACTAGAAACTCGTTTGAGCCGAGACCGCATTTCTGTAGTATCACTGCGCCATCATTTTTCAACTTTCGGCCAATCACAATCAAGCTGGGACCATACTTCAACATTTGGCCAATCATAAGCAAGCTGTGACCGCATTACTGTAGTATCACTCCGCGTGATAACATGGTCGCTCTATTACACAGTGCCGAAAGCTAGAGTAATTTGAACGATAGCAAATGTATATTAAATAACTATCCGAATACTATACTATAACATTTTAATTGCTTGTATACAATGACTTTGGCATAGGGGTGTCTGACTGGTCTATTGTAGAATTACAATTCAGATGTCATTGATTTGTAGTCACTGGGTAACATGACAGGTAAGCTATTGAAAATAATCAATAAAAAACAGCAGACTATTTATAACAACATTCGTGTGAAAAAGTGTAAAATGTAATAAAAAGAGGTCAGTCCTGCTTTTCAAGTGTTGTAATAATACACCTGCAGGCATATAAGGCACTAGAAAATAAACAATAATGATATGCTATTTGTTAGAAAACAGGCTTTCTGATAAAGATTTGTTTAAATTATTATTATTATCATTTTCTTTTTTTAAATCAGCAGAGATGGAAATGCAGCTCCCACCTCACGAGGGAGACGAGCTCTCCGTGGTGGACATGCACACAGGTGGAGAGCCTCTACGGATCATCCACAGCGGCTACCCAGAGGTCAAAGGTGACAGCGTGCTGTCCAAACGCCGTTACGTGCGGGAACATCTGGATCACCTCAGGAGGGTGCTGATGTTCGAGCCCCGGGGACACTACGACATGTACGGGGCCCTGGTGGTGGACAGCGAGCTGCCTGAGGCGGACCTGGGGGTCCTGTTCATGCACAACGAGGGGTACAGCACCATGTGTGGGCACGCCGTCATCGCACTGGGCCGCTTCGCCGTGGACTACAAACTGGTGAAGGAGCCCCAGTCCCCGGAGACCCAGGTGAACATCCACTGTCCCTGTGGGCTGGTGAAGGCGTTCGTGGAGTACTCTGAGGGGAAAACTGGGGGAGTGAGGTTTCTCAGTGTGCCTGCGTTCACATTCGCTACAGGTACAATAAAGGAAGATGTGTCCAGTGTTTTGATTTTCTGCAGGATTCACTGACTTGCTTCTCTACAGATGTTACAGTGTCTGTGGAGAAGTTTGGAGATGTGACGGTCGACATCAGCTACGGAGGAGCCTTCTACGCCTTTGTGGACGCAAAGAGGTTTGGGCTGGATGTGACCACGTCCAGGACTCGAGACCTGGTAGACGCAGCCACAGCGGTGACCAACGCTGTCAAATCTCAGGTTGGAAGTTTGTATTGTGCAGCTGATGGGAAATCGTGTGTTTGATTACATTACATTACATGTCACTTGTTAGACGCTTTTATCCAAAGCGACTTACATACTCAATAGTGTGGGCAATCCCCACAGGAGCAATTTGGGGTGAAGTGTCTTGCCCAGGGACACAACGACATGCTGACTGCAGTGGGGTTTTGGGGTGTCTCCTTCTCCCCCTCCCTAACAAGTAGAGTCAATTGTCCCGGGGCATAGCCTATATTTATCTTGATTCATGCCTTACTGGAGTGGTTTATACCATTTCGTATATGGAGTTTTGTGCAGACAAAAACATTGTTAAGCTTTTCTATGGGAGACAGTTTTTGTTTGATCAAAAAGGCCAAAATGTAGCCTGCAACAGAAAAGGTACGGCTTGTTTTAAGCTTAGGGAATGGCTCAAAGTGCAGAGTACTAAAGCAGTTTCTTTAAATAACTTGCAGCCCCTACAGGTCAGTTAAGACTGTATGAAACAATCAATGAATATGTTTTCAATGTGGATACATGCAAAAACTCAGTTTACACCAAGAAGGTCAATGCAAAATCCAAGTGGTGCAGCAGTTACAGTAGTGTCCACTTTTTGCCCGTCATCAAATTTGCATTTGGCTTAGTCATTACTAATCTTAAATGTATAATACATGGCCAGGGCTCTTTTATGTCAAAAACATTAACAATGCCCCCAGGCCAAAAGCTGTACAAGTAGAGAATGGTAAAGAGCAGTCAGCTGACATTTTTCCTACTGTCCCTTGTTGATTTTACATTCAATAAAATGTTTGTGTTTTTCTCTGCTAGGTGAAGTTGCACCACCCAACCAGTGATGATCTGGCCTTCCTCTATGGCACCATCCTCACTGATGGCAAAGATGATTATTCCTCTGACCCCACTGCCAATATGTGTGTGTTTGCTGAAGCTCAGGTACTCTACACACACCTCGTCAGTTGTTACTTTAAGGAAAGCTCTCTGAAACCGGTTTGAACCTGTTTTCAGGTGGACCGGAGCCCCACTGGTTCAGGTGTTACGGCCAGAGTGGCTCTGCAGTATCACAGAGGTCTCATCCAGCTGAACCAGACCAGGACGTTTCAGAGTGGAGCCACAGGGTCCCAGTTCACAGGGAGAGCCGTCGAGGTACCAGAGTTTCACCAGTCACTGCCTTAAAATAAAATCTAACATCAAACTTTAAATAGTTGGGAGCATTGACACTAAATTAGAAAGTATAGGCTTTGTTTTCCGTTGTAGAAATGTATTTTTCATGTCGGTCTTTATGGCCTTTTAACTGGATAAACATGACTAGAAGATCATCCAAGAAGTCACACTGGTTATAAGATAAGTTCTGGCTAACGAGACATTTCTTGTTATTGAGGTTGAGGGTGCTCATTTCTAAAATACAACTTACAAACTTCTGTTCACGTCGGCATGTTTGGGATTCTTCTCTGTGTTTCTCTCCAGGAGACTAAGTGTGGAGACTTCAAGGCTGTCGTGGTGGAAGTTTCCGGCAGAGCCTTTTACACCGGAGTTTCACGCTTCGTGCAGGAGCCGGAGGACAAGTTGACACATGGTTTCCTGCTGAAATGAGACTCAATTAAAGGGTGTTATTAAAGAGACTTTTACATGTTAACATTTATGTTTTGTCTTGTTTTCAACATAGTTTGTCAACAAGTCAATCCTGTACTCGGACTCGTGATACCTTACATTTCCTGAGCCAGTATTGTTGTTGTTGCAATTACTTACCACTTGGTGGAGCCCTGACACTGGTCGCTATCACGACTAACAATGGACATCAGAGTCTCTGTTGTTAAATACTTAAGAAACAAAAACTATTTCTACCATTATATTTTCATGTCCGCTTTCAGGGTTCGTGGTGATAACAAATGACGTTTTAAACCAAGGTTAATATGCCATGAGAATTCACTCTATTGAATGTGCTTATTAGATAAATACGAAAACTCATACATGTTTTTCTCCCATTTATTATCATCACGTCATTTTACAATGAAAGGAAATATTTAAATTATAAAATGGAGGTGTTTGACACTGGTTAGATTCACACAGCCAAGGGAACAAATTCAAATCAAAGGTTTTACGTCCACATGTGATGCTTTCTACAAGAATGAAAACATCACATGTGCATCACACAGAGATTAAAGTCAGAGTTTCCCTTTGCACTTTTTTTTGTTGCAGTGTAAATCCAGCCAGTGTACAGAAAACATATCATCTATGCAATAAAACATAAAGGAGGGCACTCCCTTCAGAGGGGAAAGACAATAGTATTGCATCCACTTGTTATTTTTAAATGGCATTGAGCATAGTAATTATGAATGTATATGTGCATGTGTAACAAAGCACGCAACCTTATATATAGATATATGTAATCTATGACATGAGTGTCCACACATGTTGAGAAATTGCAGATTAGGCCCAGGCCTTAGAGAGTACCCACTCAACAATTCAAACAACAGTTAAGGCCAGCTCTTAACAGGAAAAAAATAAAACATACAGTGATGGGATATATAAATGCTGCACGTCAATAATGATGAGTAGAAAATAAACTTCTGAGCTGCATCACTCGCAGTCAGAACCACGTCTGTGTCACAACGCAGCGCTCTGTCCTGTGATGGTCCTGACTGCAGGAGGGCAGCATGTTCAGACTCAGTCTTTCTCCAGAAAACGCTCTTGGACGACTCCCGGCGTGAGCGCAGGTCCTCTCAATCTATGAAACCGCTCCGTATAAAATGGCCCCTTGTGTCTTTAATGGAATCATCTTCCTGAAGGAGAAGCTAGCTGCACATTTCACTCTGTGCATAGATTCTGACGTACAAAAACAGCACAGATAGGTTCCTAACAAACAAGCATGAGCATCTTTTACACCTCGGAGGGAAACTTTCTCCATCAGCCTGCTCATGCAAGACAATCGTCTAAAAACATTTCATGAGACCACACCGATCCTCCAGGGGGGGGAATTATCTGATTTGGTCGTTTTTTTTTAACAACTTTTGGCTTCTGCTCCGTTTAACATCAAACTCCTCGGAGGATGAAAGGTCTGAATGCGTTGTGCCTCGTGTGGCTCTGCAGCGGTGATGCAAGGCTGGGTGGGAGGAGGGTGCGGAGGAATGTGCATGTCAGTTTGACCCAGAGGGAAACTAATGTCGGGCGAGCGAAACAAACGCCCCGCTCAGAAGTTGAGCTTTGTGACCGGTCGCTCTCTGCTCGCGTCCGTGTTCTGGCTGTTGATGCGCTTGCGGTTACGCTTCATCTTGGAGAGGTCCTTGTCGAAGACCTCGCCCGATCGCAGCGCCGACACCAAGTCGTCAAACTCGCCGCCGTCGTCCTCCCCGTTGGCCTTTGCTTTCCGGGCCTTTCGCTCCTTCTCCCTCTGCTCTTTCAGCTGGTGACACAGAGGTTAAAAGTCATTCACCAAAGAAGCTACTTAAAGCTAAACCACTCCTTGAAAGCAACACTTGATACTGTCAAGGCTGAACTGAATTCAACTATCAATTTGTAAAAAGGAAGAATTTTTGTTGTGTCCTTCTTTCAAAAGTGTTGTTGTAACTCTGATTTCATTTCGGAGTTTCCGGAATATTGCAGATTATACTCCATAATGAATACACTATGGGTGTTGTATAACTGTGTCTCTGTTTGTCGTATGGAAACAGGAAATCAATCACACACCTGAGCTTCCATTTTGGCTCTGCGCTCCTCCTCCTCTTTGCGTTTCCGCATGTTCTCGTTCTCCTGCTGCGCCTCAGCGAACGACTGCAGGAACTGGTCAAAGATGCCGAAGAACTCATCTGGCTGCATCTTGCTGGCGTCCTCCCCGAAGTGCTTTACTGCCCTCAGGAACTGTGGGACCAAAGGGAAGGGGGCACATGGGATTAGATTTACAGCGGGACCCAGCGGCACTGTGTTTTACTCTCCGTCTTCCACTGTTTTACAGGAGAGTCGTTACGTCCCCCCTCTTTGAAATAAGAGCAGGGTACCCAGTGGTCGGGCTTTGAAGCCGGTGTTAACCCAGATCTGACCGACTACTGATTACAGCTGGAGCCAGAGGCTGGAGCCAGAGCACAAATTAAGGCAACGTGTCTGTGGAGGGTTTTCCACAGTGAGTTAAAAAGGACAACATCCAGATGTGAGATCACGCTGAGAACATGCACCTTCTGAGATGTGTGGAGATTTGTACATGACACGCATGCTTTCAACAAATCAGACACATGAAGGGGAGCAAGGATGCATTTCGATTCTCAGATTAATTGTAATCAGTCAAATTATTAGTTTCTTACTGCTGCAACTAATGATCATTTTAAATATCAATAATTAGCAGGTTACTTTGTAGACTAATCGGTTGATCTATAAAATGACAAAAGATAGTGAAAAAAGCCATCCGAAGTGCTCAAATTCCAAGTTGACATAAAAAATCTAAATATATTCAAGTTTATTATAATACAAAACAGAGGAGGGCAGGAAATCTCCATATTTTAGATGCTGGAAATTCAATGTTCTGCCATTTTTGCATTAAAAATAACTTTAAAATAGAAGCGAAAATCTAAATAATGGGTATATTCTTTATGTCGATCAACTAATAGATAACTTGACTTATCGTTGTGGCTATAAAGTTCATTAGTGCATTCAGATTTGATATTTCTTTTTACTTCCTCAATGAAACATGATCTCTGTGAGGAAAATGTCACTTTTCCTCTTTACATCTTGGTATTTATGCCCTGCGACACACAATCCAGATGCACGGAGCTGTTTTAAGGGTCAGCATGTTCTCTGGCTCCCAATAATGAGCACCGAGGATTACTGTAAACACGTTCAAATATTTCACTGTGGGACACCGTAAATGATTCACAGAAACTAATGGCTGCCATGTGACCAGCCGAGCACAATGAGCACACACCATGGGGTAAAAAAAACACCAGATTGAGATAAAAAGCCTGCAGCAATAAATATGGGCAGACACATAAATGCAGGGTGTCAAACGCTCCTCAGAAAGGTGAATACTCTCAGGTTTCTGGCAGTAAAAAATGGCGGCAAAATCCAGGTTTGTTTTCTCTTTTACTTCACATTAGCAATGAGGAAATGGGACTCTAATGTACTCAAAAGCCACCCACATTCAAATGTATGAGTATGTTGCATTTACAGAAAATGTTCCCAATATAAAAAAAGGTCAAACAATGTGGTGTAAAATAATATCCTCTGCTCCTGGTTCTGTCTCTTGACCTGCACACATGGCAGCGAGCAGACTGACCAATAAAGCATCAGAGGTGCTGCGACAGGAAGCTGAGACACTCTCTCCTGCTGTTAGCCTTCCTACAGAGGTGACAGATGAGGTCAATGTGCAGAGAGAGGAAATGGGATGCGAGCTTTCATCGTCTGCACACGCTCAGTTTTTATCACCAGGACGTACCAGTTCCTTGGCCTCGATGAGAGAGTCCTCCACGTCGGAGAAGCTGAAGCTGGCCACGGTGATGAACTGACTCACCACCGACACAAACTTGTCGCCGTGCTGCTGCGGTCGATTCTTCTGGAATTCTAGCTCCTACGAGAGAAAGTTATCCAGGCCAGGAAAAGTAGGTTAGAGAGAAAGCACAGAAAGACCAGCTCGGAGCATTGTGTAACAGCATGACCAATCCATAACATGTATTATGTAATCGATCTGTTGTGACTCACGCTCTCCACATTTTTCAAGCCGCTGCGCAGGTTGCCGATATCTTTTTCCATCTCAGTCATGCTGCAAAAACACAAAAACAAACAATGGTTCAGTTTAAGGTTATGCAACAAAACACCAAGACATCTGCTTAGGGATGACTCAAACAGGTTGATCGGGTATGAGTGAAAATGTTTATTTACATTATATACTGGAATAAGAATTTCTGATTAAGGTTTGACTAATTTGTAGCTCCATTTAAAAAGGTTAAAATAGAGGATTTTTAGAAAATGTACGATTTATTATTTAATTTACAAATAATGACTAATTTATATCTATGTATTTATTTAGTTTTGTAAGTAAGGAAAGCAATGTTTAGCTCAATCCTGATGTTGCATTACCTGTAGGAGCCAAAATGCTACTTAGCCTGAGTTTATTATTTGTATTATTATTATTTTTATGTCACTTTTATTTGGATTTGTTGAGCACTTCCGGCAATCGTCACATGGGCGTGGTTCGTGTATTTAGGTCACCTGTTACATATCGGGTGCGGATGACAGAGGGTGAGCTTGCGCTGACATTTTTTCTGTTGACCGTTTTGGTCCTTCTAAGTTATTGTGCGTTTGATTTTGTTTATTAAATATCATCAACCGTTTCTTAAACTTCAGTATGGACTTTCTCATTGAAAACGTGTCACGGCATAAAGCCAAGCTTAGCCTCTTGGCCACTCACATTTAAAATGGGAATTGAGCCGCCACATTACCCATAAAACTAAGATCCCAGTCACTTTTAGGGATACAGCTCATTCATTTAACACTGGTATACACAATGGAGCGCCCCTTATAAATATAAAATGTAGAGAAAACAGCAGGTTCTCCCGCAGCTCCACCTACTTGACTTTGGCTGCCTCTGAGAGACTCTTCAGGTCCTCCTGGAACATCAGGACTTTGGGGTA